TCATTGTAGGCTGATATTATTCGCAGCGTGCAAGCAGTTTCTCTCTTCGACGGAAGATCTTTACTTTGTTACACTTTCGCCGCCCACAAGCGGATGCGGTATATAAGTCTTCGTCTCGTCTGTTTTTGGCTTGGTTTTGTCTTGGTTAATGTTTGGCATAATTCTGCACAGAGTGATTGTGCGGTTATTCAAAACCTTCGTAACGTCTCTCCGTCTGTCTGTCCGTTTGTGTATTTGTTTGTACACTTAATATTTGCTGTAAACATTATCATCGTCACGAAACTAAAGCTATTGGCTTCAAAAATTGGAAGTGTTCCGTTTCTCAAAGCGTTTTCTTGCATTACTTTTAAATTGTCACACATATATGACTGAAATTTTCTATATTTACTTTATGGAGGAACCTACTATTCACAGTAGAAAAATAGCCGGCCATGCTCACGTAATATTGTGGAGGAATTCTTTTTTTCTTTTCTCGTTTTTTTTTAGTCTTTTTTAAGATAACAGTGATGACTATAAAACGTTCGGTCGCGACCAAATATAATTTCCTTAGTTGTTAAATAAAAAAAAAGTCTTCAAAAGTAAAGTGTACTGTCATCGAATTCTTTATCTCCGCCAAGCTTACTATAAAAAAGTCTGAAGAAACAACGAAAAGATTCAATTTCCGTATTATATAAGATTTTGCGGGCGCGATAGTTTACTTTTAATAGGCGAAAATTTATTTTGTAAGTAATTACCTCAAAAGAATAGAGAAAGCAAAGGTACTCTCAGTTCCAGTCGTACGGCGCGCACGTCCCTTGGCCGACTTAGTCCATTTTCAACATTGGTCTGCCTGTAAGAATTTCTGATGCTTTTGCTAAGTTTGAAGCCGGTATCTTATTTCTTTTTTCGCGAATGGCATATATTCGGCACACACATTACAGAGATAAAGCGAGTTAGAATTTGATTTTAACTTCGATTTTCTTTTTTTTGCATTTATATTTATTCGATTTAGTTTAACGGTGTCACGGTTTGCTAACCAGAATTAAGCTCGAGGCTTTCTGCAGCTCCTTCAGGCGGAGATCCAAACATCTACTTGAGTTCAGGATCCCTCTAACTGAGCTTGACTTTATATAAAGCTTTTAAAATAAATCCGGAGACAAACTAATCATCATCTTCCATGCAATGTAATTTCAAGATTATCTTCTTCTTTTATTTTAATTAATTAACATAATTACAAAGTTCTATTTGCAACCAAAATTTACATTCCTCTGGCATCCGTGTACCGATGACATTTGCATGCTACAAATTTTTTACACTTAGTTGAATTTTTCTTTTGCTACCATAGTCACCTTTTTTTTTGCTGACACATTATTCTCATCATTGGTATCGGTAGCACATATAGTTTATTGGATAAGTGAGACGGATTTTTAGCTCAGTTTGTGAATTTAATAGAAGAATTTTCAACTGAGTTGACGCCAACCGTTCGGACAGTAGTGCAACTTTCAAAAGTTGCTACTATTCACGTCTCTCCAAGTTAATCAAGTGTGTGACGGAAGCACATAGATTTTCTTTTAATCTTTTACACCGTGTATCGATTGATGGTAATACGATGGCCGATAGAATTTATCTTTTCTCTCTATTGTGTAACCTTCCTTTTTTACAGAACGAATCAACAAATTTTTCCCAGCATATCGGGACACTTTCTCAAACCTGATCTTAAGGATTCGTATCCATATAAGATTCCCGAGCACGCTGGCACATATTCGCGCTTTCTCACTATCACATTGCGGATCGTCACTTACCACTGCAATTAGTTCATCGTTAAATGCAACTCCCAATCCAGCCATTAAGATTTCGCAACGTCCTTCGTTTGCCATCTTTACATAAATGACATTTTCATGCAAGTTCTCCTACGACGTGTTAAGTTCTTCTTTGTCTACTCCAAGCACCTTATACTCTACAGTTTTTTTGTTGTCCTTGTCATAAGTATGGGCATCGCTTCCTTTAAACTTTTTATTCGTAGGCTGTTTGCCTATTAGACGTACTTTTGCCGCCATTTTATTGCTAAAACTTATAGACTTAATCAGTTCAAGCATTTGCAGTTGAGGCGCCGACGACGGACGAAGATTGACATCAACCCCAAGATTTGTCATGGTGAAGCTCTCACTACGTTCGGTACGAGTTTCGAAATCGTTATAGATTATTTCACACCAAATTATCGGCGGTAATATACTGGCCGTTAGTATGTAAGTCTCTTTTATCATAATGCCCACACGCTGTGATTCTTGTTCTCCTTCTTTACAATTTAGAAGACCGAAAGATAACGCCAAATTGGATGGGTCAGAGCTGCATTGTCCACTGACATATTCCGACTTGTATATTAACAAAATGTAACTAACGAAATATATTAATTCTTCTAATGCGTTGAACATTTTTATCCAATAACATGTCTGTTATGCATGATAACCACAAATGAATGTAGAACTGTAGTCGCAATTATTGTGAAACTAAGTAGCCTGGCATCTTTCGGCATCATGAAGGGTTTCATACTCTACATCAGTCATAGTCATAGTTGTACGTGATTGAACCAAATTAAAGCGTTAATATGATTACCCATACATGCTACGGCTTTTATACTGGATGATATCGTATAGCTGGATCGGAACCTTGATGATTATTTGTTTGTTTGTTTGTTGTAAGTTCGTTGTGCAAGTTAATACTCAAGTTAACTGTGGGTACCTTCTACAGTTATTATAACATCGATTCAGACGCATTTTCAAAATCGACAAATGTTTATTTGTCCGGCTGTCCATTTGAAATGAACCCCTCCAATCCAAATCATTAACATCAAGTTCGAATGCCGTAACGCTTCCATTTTATTAGGTCAAAAAAACTCAAGGTACTAAATTTCGCCAGCCTAAGTCTTAATTTGCAACCTATGGGTTGCTACAGGTACGAATGAATACATGGCCGCAGAAATACTTTTGAAATAGTTTTGAATGGATAAATTCATCTTAAGTCCTTCTGGATGTTGTCCTCAATTGAATTGGAATAGAGATAAGTCTATTTTAAATTTTTCTGGGCTTTATCTACACATCCGCACAGATAGACAAAGCTTCAATTGAATTACAGGAAATCCTTTCGGTGTAATAGAAGATAAGTTTCTCTCAAGTCCTTCTGGATATTGCCAACACATCTGTAAAGGCAGACAAAGTTTGAACTAAATTATCTACACATCCGTACAGACAGACAAAGCTTCAACTCATATACAAAATCTTTTAATAATGGACTATATAGTAAAACATGAGGCTGTCTTAAGGCCCTTTAGATTTAAGATCTGAATATAATTCAAGCATTCGCACAGACGTGCAAATAAGCTGTGAGAACTAATTCTTCGACAAAAAAAAAGTCCTGGTTAAGCTATCTTCCAATTAAAAAAAAACCATTTTAATGCAATATATTTGCCTTCCGTAGAATATATTAAATGCAAAAATAATAATAAAAAAATACAAAAGAAAAAAAAAATTGTTATAAATTGTATTAATTGTAGTGCAAAAAAAAAAAAAAAAAAAATTATCAAAAAAGGTTTTCGTGAGAGGGTTTTTCATGATTTATTTGCCAGAAAATCTATAAGAAAATTAATTAACAATTTGCTGCTTATTAAAATAAGAAAAAAAAACAAGATAAAATTTGCCTTAAAAAAGGCTAATAATCAGTATAAACATTCATCATTTATTCTCATTAAAGAAAAAGAAATTTTAAAAATTACAAAACCAATAACAAAACCATAAATAAAACGAGATTTGGAAAAAAAAAAACCGGAATAAAAGTTTCAAATTTTTTACTTCGAGCATCGCGTTTAAGAAAAACAAAAAAAAAAAAAAAATACAAATAAAAATTTCAAGTTTAAAGGATCAAAAAATTCTTTTATATTAATGAAAAACAATCCAAGGACAGATAGACCAGAACATACGCACAGCTTTCTATTGTTGTTAGATCAATGCCTGGTCAAGGAGACAAAACTAAAAGCGGAAGCTTTATATATATATATATATATGTTTATATGTATATATATAGAGATAGATAGAGAGAGAGAGAGAGAGAGAGAGAGAGAGAGAAAATCTACATAAGCGAGTAAATATATCCGTTACCCTTAGCTAAAGCCGTGTGGCTCTCAGTGAAAACAATACAAAAAAAAAACAAGTTTCATATATTAAAAGTGATGCTGACGCTGATGCCTGAGCTTGATCGCTCGAACTGCTATTGTATGCAATATATATATATAATAACTGATTATTATTTTGGTCCATTAGTACTACTAAGACCAGGTGTTCATCGAACAAAAATGAGACACAAATCATTTGCGAACATTATCAACCACCAAAAAAAAAAAAAAAAAAAAAAATATATAGAATTTGGAAAAAAAAAAAAAAAAAAAAAAAATAAAAAATTTTTAGGAAAAAAACTTTAATAACCAGTTTATATAAAAAAAAAAAAATTTCTTTTTTCTTTTGTTTTTTAATTTATTATTACATTTAATCATAGCTGCTGTATAAAAGCCTCTACGATAGCCTTATATCAAACAGTTTCATTTCATAGCTCATCAATCGCACACTGAGGACGATCTTTGCTTAACGTATAAATACGTTGGCAAAGATCATTTCTTTATCCGATAAAATGATTTTTGTGTTAATACGAATTTATTAAAATAAAAAAAAGATAAAAACTCGCCGCATTTTTTTAAATTTTCTTAAAACAGTTCGAAAATGGATTTAAAAAATAGAACAAATTCTAAAAATAAAGTTATAACATAATCATCGATCACCGAAAGTCAGATCCAATTCCAATTAAATATGAAATAAAAATTATCTAAAACTTTGCCAAGAAAATTACGAAAATCAAAGCATCCAAAAAACAAAAAAAAAATAAATAAATAAAAAAAATAGTTTCGTACAAAAAATTAATTTTTTTTTTCATTAAAAGTGCAAAACAAATTTTACTTTATACATATATATATATATAAAAATGTTACCACACAGACACTAATATCAAAATAACATTTTTTTTTTTTTTCTATCTACTTTTTTCCCTACACCTACAGGTAAGTGTTGCAAAAAATAAAATAATTTGAATAAATTTATTACGCATTCGCCAGTTAACGTCGGGGACCGAAAAAAAAAAAAAATATACAAAAAAGTACAGCACTAGTCGGTCCAGTGTGCCCAGTTTGTCCGCGCGCATTCTGCTTTAGTGAAATCACTTTTTCTCTTTTTATCCTGAGAATATGAAATAGACAGTGCCTACCACCTATTAAGTACAAATTAATATTGTCCGTCTGTCCGTTCAACTGTACCGTATTTGAAGCCTATGCGCTTAATGATATTTGTCTTATTTTTATTTCTTTTACTCATCACAAAAAATTAAAGTCATTTCTTCTTTCCCATGATCTATGGATCTATGGACTTCTAGCAATTGTTACAAATATCAGTAAATGAATAGTGGAATGACATAATGCCATAAGCACAATTGACATAAATCAAAAATTTCGACATTTTTTTTTATTCGTTTTTTTTCTAATCTTGCCACTTATAATTAGAAAGTTTTTATATGAAAATGCTATAATGTGAAGTCATTGCTTAAACGCTTTGAATGGGTGATCTTCAACTATAGCTCTCATGAGATCCTACTTGTAATAGTAGAACTAGTAAGATTTCTTGTCTTATCTCCTCAAACGATTTCAAAGCATTTCGAAACATGATATGAGAACAGAAAGCGATAGCTATAATGCGAAGGTCTGTCTTAAAAGAACGATGTCTTCAAATTGCCATAACAAAGCATCCAAACCTTAAAGATTACGTGAACTAAGCCTGTTAATAACTCTGTAATAAGTTCGGAAATTTCGTCTTATTCAACAATCATCGCGATAATATAATTTCAAATCTATTACGGTCTGCCGCATAGTCGATTAGGTAGGAGTCGCGACTGCCAAGTCAGTGTTCACGCGATCACATCTCAATGCGGTGTAGCGCTTACAGATTGAGTACTCACCCACTCTCGCTCCGTATCTCTTTTTTTCCTCACTTCCTGAAGAGCCTCTTCCCTGATTGATTAAATTAGTCCTTTAAGATACCTTGGAAAAAAAAAATCTATTACGGGAGGGTATTAAAAGCATGGCCATGCCTGGTAAATCTAAATAATAAAAAAGCAAATCTTGTTATAGTCTATGGAGTTTCAACCTCTTCATCCTCTCCATCAACCTTTTGTACACATCGCCGAAAGATTTGAAAAGAAAATTGTTTACCAGCCGTAATAATATTTTATTTACTTTTGAGAAAAAAATTTTTTGGGACAGCAATAGCAGCTTCGAAGTCTTAGAAACACGCAGATAGATAGGTCTAGGAGAACTTCAATTCGACTTTTTTAGCTTTTTTTTCTTATATCAAACCGCCTAAAGTACAGTCGCGTAATTATTTAAGTTTGTAATGCCGAGAAATATGCTTGGATTAGTTATTCAATTTTAAATTTGTAATAGCAAAAAAAATTGCGAGTACTTTTCATGATAGCATTCCGAACTCAACAGTCTCGCATTTGTTAGGCAAAAGCATTGATTGATAATCGGAACTAGGACTCGTACGGCCAAAGAAAAGGAAATACACTTAGAGAGTTAATTAAATAAATTCATTTCATTTAGATGATTGGATAGATCATTCAATCGCAAAAAGCACTCTAGACGTACATGCAAAGAGCTGGAGGTCATATTGTTTTGGGATTCTCAGCTGGTGATAGAAGAAGAATTCGATTGCCTGTTCATCAAAATGCTTTCTCCCAAATAACATTTAGCTTTTCTTAGCTTCCAAAATGCTTATCGGACCGATCATAGGCCTGAATCAAATTAAAGTCAATAAAAAGTGCAGCTACCATGATTTAAAATTGTTCGATCGGAACGAAGTCCAATAGTGTTTGTCTTTGAGTCAAACGAAGCCGGTTTACCAAATTCCATCAAAATATCTTAGACATTTGGACCTGTATGTTAAACACAAGAACACAAAACGGACGGACAGACAAGCTTACGTCGCTTCTGAATCAATGCATTCATTTCAAGTCATTCTATGTGTTGCGTGTATCCACTTAAACCTAAAGTACCTACAAACGATGTACGTATACCCTACATGCTTAGCCAAATTACAAAAAATTTTATATGCAAAAAAAAAGAAAAACAATCCAAAGATTCGTTAAGATTAGTTAAAAAATTTATTGACGATCCGTCTATTGAAAGTTTGTTTACAAGTAAAATGTTTATAATCGTTTTGGAAAGAATTTTGCAATAATTTGGAAAGCATTTACGAATGCTGTTACGTCAAACCGTAACATTAAAATGTATGTGTATTTTATTTTCTTAATTTTCAATATTGCGAAGTTTTTTTTTTAAATTTTACGGTTATATTCAAATTTCATCTCCGAAAAAACGCGAGAACTATCTTTCTTTTAATTACGAAATCGGACAGACGGACGGACATATGTACACGCCTAATCTTATCCTTCGTCGAAGTGTATATATCACATGTGAAGGATAAATCCAGCAATTCGCGATTTTCCGATTGAAGGATATAAACCTCTTGACTTTTTTTATACATCTGTCTAAGATTTGATGATAATTTGATTAAAAATTTTGTTCAACTCGGTTGAATCGATCGGTGTCTATTCTATAATTTTTATTTATTGTAAACGAATTCGTTTAAAAAAGAACAACCAACACTTAAATGATAAGAAATTAAAAGTCGACTGACAAAAAACAAGAAATAAGTAATAAAATTATGTTACATTCCGTAAGGAAACTTCTCCTGCAATTAAAATCTCAAATATTGAAATGAATGAACTTATTGCAAGTGATTGCAATGGAACGGTAACTCATGGTGAAACTAAAGCATTTGCAGCATCTTGCATATTTTCAAAAATGAAGTTAACCGATCCCTGGTAACTTTTAATAATCAAATAATATGAATAAGATTCAAAACTTCAATATAACTCTCATAGGCATATTTTAAAGAATTTATAAGAAATTGTGAAAAGTTTCATTTTCGTATATTTTCGATTAAAACGGATTATCATCCTAATATTCACATCACCATATTTGAAGGACATCATCAAAAAAATGTATTTCCTTGAATCGTAATAGTATCCTACAACGTTTGTGGTGCAAGGTTACCATAAGGGGACTTGAAGTAGACCCATTTTTCTTGTATTCCAATCGATTTAGCAACTGATTGTAAGCCTGTCACTCTATCTGTCCGCCTAGGATACTATAAAAGGACTTTTTTTATTCCAATCGATTCAGAAAATTATTTTAAGCTTGTCTGCCTGGACTTGAGATAGACCAATTTCTTATTATTCTAATCGTTTCAGCAAGTGATTCTAAGCTCGTCTGTCTGTCTGTCTGTCCTTTGTGGATATCATAAAAGGAGTTGAGATGGACTCATTTTGTATTATATAGATTGATTCAGCAATTGATTCTAAGCTTGCCCGTCTGTCTGTCCATTTTCTTTTTAATTTTTAAGCCGCAAATGAAAGGCTTTGGCCCAAGGGCGAACTCTTTTGAAAATTATGCGATCATTTCGCACATAACGTCTTATTTTAAAATTTGAATATATGGATAACTGTAGCTTGGTGTAAGACATTTAATGATAGGCATTACTTATCATTGCCGCCATTGTTTATCACGCTTTGACTTTGCTCTTAAGTGATTTTCTTTTTTCTTAATAATTTCAGGATGTCGTCACATTATAGCATTATATCATCATCATCATCGCCAAACCGAAATCAGAAATCGTTTAACAGCAACTTGGAAATCATCATGGGATGAAACTCAACTCAAGAACGGGGGAAAAATATTGAACTTGAAAATTTTTGGAACAGCGTTGTGATGAATAACTCAACACAACAAAAACAGAAACAACAAAATAAAGAAAAAGTTATCAAAATGCATTTGAAAGAAAAACAAAACAAAAAAGCTAAGGAAATTTCACTAAATCGTATATTTTGAAGCCATAAAAACGCCATTTTCTTAGTTCAACAACAAC